CTTACTGTTTGTTTTTAAAATTCGAAATTACTATGTAAAACAACGTAATGCTGTAATATTGTTAATTTTAGGAAGTAGCTTTAGGGCTAAGAATAATAAATATTTCATTTTATTTGTCTTAGAGATAGTCAAAATTACTAATTTTCAAAATATGCTTACTTTCAAACACCAATATCTCAAAAATTAATCGTCTGATTTAAAATTTTACTATATGACTGTAAGGGAATAGCAACGAGTTATCCAACGATGTGCAACACAAGGTAAGTTCGTATTTGAAAAAAATAAGTTTGGGTAACTACCCCTTAAGGGGTGATGCGGGGTGACTTAAACAGTACTTCATTTTGGTTCCTCTTCCGATTCCCCTATACGTATTCGAGATCTTCCTGATAGTATTTTTTGTCTAAGAGATATTCCCGATTGCTACTTTTTAAATTGTCACCCTGTATATACTTTACTTTGACTGGACTGAAATCTTCTCACTTTCGATACTTTTCAGTGGGCTAAAAAACAATTTTCAGTTATAGAAATTAAGGTAAAAGCAAAAAGATTTTTTTTTTCAACAAATGAATCTATTTTTGTATTTATCAGAGTCCTTCTACTCCTCCAGGTAGATTTTGCAACAACGGGGTATGTTACCACCTGTTTTTGTTATTTACGCAAGAGCAAAAAAGTGCAGAAGTTTTCCGAATCCCCTGGACTCACGTAGTTTTTCTGAAAGGTATATTGTAGCGCCGACGCCACGTGTCCCTATATGTCACCTTTTGTATAAATTTTGACTTTTGAAAAAACAGTTTAAAGATGTTATAATTATTATAGTACTGACTACTGACTCTACAGTAACTTACACACCACTAAAATGTAACCCAATCTGAAAATATCAGTCTTCAAAAAACTCTTGCACTTTTTTGACGCTAGCTCTATGACTTGTGAAAAAACATCCAAACATTCTCACCCTTTCTATAAAAAGTCTTCACGGGGTGTGTTCTGCAAGATAAAATTCTCTCAATCGATTTTCAATATGGACGAACTTACATTTTCAATTTATTTTTATTTTACCAAAAAACATTAAAAAAAATAGATGGATGCATTTGGATCTTTCATCCATATTTTGGATTTTAGTAAAATATGAGCCAGATAACTTACTAATAATATACACCATATTATTATGTATAAGCATAACCTAGTCATTTTATGGAAATAAAATGTTTCAATTGTTATTGAATTTGATATCGATTCTGTATGAATTTTTTGGTTCAAAAATCCTTGATAATTATTATTCTGGACTAGTTAACAAAAGCTTTGAACCTAAACGGTTATATGGAGGCCTGTACAGATAATAGAATAAAAATATCAGAGGCAATTATAGTCCGTCGATTTTAACCTGATACTCCAAAGGAATATAAGCTGGTGGCTACCTACCTACGTTAGAAAGCTAATGATCACTTGACTTCACACCTGTTTTTGCCATATGAAACACCCCCTCGCTCCTCACACGGAAAGTGTCAGATTAAAAACGACAAACAATCGGTGTAAAAACTATTTTTGAAAAAAAAAAAGATGTTTTGAGTAGATTCAAAATGATCCAAATGTCCGCGAATGTGTTAAGAACCTGAATGCTCACCTGAGCCTTGCTGTTTATCATCTGTCTAATTTTGCTGGCCTTCCATCCGACCACCGGCTGTACGACGTTGCTACCCAAATGCTGCTGCGCCAATTTGGCGTTCAGAGAGTCCAGAAAACTTTGTCCGGGACCGCGTTGCTGCTGTTGCTGAGCTTTAGTGGTCACGCTGTGGTCTTCTGTTGAGTTGCGCCGTGACGTCCGAGGACTGAGACTCGGAGCTAGTTTGGCATTGAGGGAGGCTATGAAATTGGACCCCACTTTGCCTGGACCTAGAAACAGAGATTTACTTTAGCTTAAGTTATTTTTTAACTAGTGTCAACAGTAATCACTATCGGACAAAAATAGAGCAACACTTTTAAAAATATATGCATTTATATATTTAATAAATAAATAAAATAAAATCCCGGTATAATAATACTACATGCATGATAATGTATACAAATACAATGAGTTTTAAGACATCAAAGTAGGCTTTGCATCGGTGAAAACACTTATTTTCACGAATAAAACAAATTAATTTATTTCGACATTTTCAAATGCTAAATAGCAACGCATTAAAAGTAGAGCAACATTTAAATAATTGGTTCAAAAGAAGGGTTTTAACGAAATCAAAAGGAAAAATAATTGTTTAGAGATTATTTTATATTTCTCTGCACATTTCTGTAATAGATTAGTCATGCCAAGAGAAATTCCAATTTCAAAATACTTGAAGCAAAGAGTTAGTTGTTAATGCATTCATGAAAGGTAACAAGCAAGTCGATATTTCAGTTTGTGTTACCTCGGTACAGTGAATCTAATATAATTTCACCCTAATGACAAGGGACACTTAAAGTTACCAAAATCTGGAAGGCCAAAGAAAACAACAGTATTGACCAACAGATGCATCAAAAGAATTGTTCAAAATAATCCTAGAATAATTGCCAAAATTCCAAAATGCAGTTGGTATACGAACTGTCCAAAGAAGGTTAGTAGATGATGAGGGCAGGGTGCCCAATTTTGTCGCAACCTTGAAGAATAGGTACCCTCTCGGTATTGCGCTGTTTGGCGGTGCTGCTACGGGATATCAGCGATGATATCCTTGAATGGAAACACTTGGACCAATGCTACGTCTAGTGTTTATTAATTGAATAGACCCAGCTCTGAGTGATTGATCTATGTAGGTATTTTTATATAATTAAAAAATCGTGACTAACTTTTTTAAAACTTGAATGACAACTCTATCAACAACGGGTTGTTATGCACACAAAACATCCCCCCTTAGAAAGGTAAGTGCCGTGTTGAGAACCTGTCTATAAGTTTTCAGCGCCTCTAGTGACTGGGGGGGTAAGCTTTTGTAATTCTGGATTTATTGGCGAATGCAAAACGCAATTAGGGTTCGTTCGGTATCTTATTCGTTCCGGTGGATCGTTTGCACCATTGTTTGATTCTAGCGATTCAACACCACCACTTTAAAGTTTCTACCATTTTTTGGCATAAAATAATTGTGCCAAAAAGAAGAAACTCATAAAATCGGTAGTATTGAAGCGCCTTCAAGGTAAAATTGACTAAGAATTAAGATAACAAATTTAGATATTTATTAAAGTTTGAAACAGAAAATATTAAAGAATATGGAATTAATTACAATTTATGCGAAACAGTTTTTTTTTCATGTAAATACATACATAGGTAGGTAATGCTAGTTAAGTTAAAGATAATAAGGACAGTTACAAGAAGTAATGACGTACATTTAACAATAGCTTGATGAAAAACTTAAATCGTAAATAAAATGACAAAAGAGGTCCTTTTCTCACAATCCAAAATCGTTGTTAACCTAACAAGTGAGGAAAGTGTTTCTGCACGTGATGGAAGTTGCAAGAATGACAACAAAAAGCAGAGTTCGGACAAGCCTTTAAGTCCAGAAAATACACTTTCCGCGTGTGTTAGGTAGAAAGTTTATGTAGTTATACATAATATAAAGCTCATTCAAGAAAATGATTTCGCCTGGATGATAGAATAAATATTTTTGATAATAGTCTATACCCTTTACCACTAGCTTTAAGCAAAGACAACGCCAACAACTTCTCGTTCAATGTAAATCGTCTAGCTTTAGGCTTTTGGTTTTGAGTACGGACTTGGCTTAAAATAAAGCTGTATATCAATGGATTGACGTGGTCTACGAGCCTTTGAAATTTGGTTTATGATGCAAGTAATTCAGCAGCAGAAACTTTGGATTTAAATGACGACAACCTTCTACTGATTCTTCTTAACTTATTGCTGGATTCTATAACTTTGGAATAAAGATATTTTTCCCTTGGGGATAGGAATTTTTTGCCTAGTGACGTTAATGTTCTTTAAAATTTGGCATCGTCTCTCATGACCTGCAAAAAAAAAATAGATCAAGATTGGAGACGAGCTTTTCGCACATTTAGCTTCTAATTTTTCTAGCATTCCACTGCAAGTTTTAGTAATTAGTAGTCTTTTATAGTAGTAGTCCTAGTTAGGATGTTTTAAAATTCACCTACTCCCAACTGGGTGGTTATTCATTAAGCAATAACACTTAGGTACCTACCAATAAAAGTTTTAAGAGACAAAGTTGGTTGCTGACTTTTTCATGTTTGTAGATGTGATGGTTCCACTTGGTGTAGCAATGTCTGCCCGAATTGCAGAAGTTTCAGTAGATAAAAATTGACGACATGAAGGGCCTGGTTGATCTAAAACAGAAATTTCGTTAACAATGATTCTACCAAAAAAGTTTGGATACACACATTGTAGAATATGGTGTACCTGTATGTAACCAGGAATATTTTAATTATTGTGTCTCCTGATAAAGGAATAAACATTTAAAAAAAAGAAATGAATAATATTAGCTTTGTTCCAACACAGCAGAAAACCGTACAATGTACCGTCACGATTCTGCGCAGAAACTAAAATTGTTATACTGAGTGGTTTCGAAACCGTTCATGGGACGATTTTTTGACGTGTTGGAACAGTTATTATGTTTACCTACCTATGTCAATCATAGTTGCGAAACTAATTTCTGAAGGCGTCTTAGGACTCTTCGACGAGTTTCAACTGTGTCGATCTCCACTTTTTGCCATTTTGGTGATTGTGGTTTATCAATTAACGACTCCTCACTGTTTTTGATAATTGGGGCTAAAATTGAAATTAATTTTAATGTTTCTGACCTATGCCCCTTTAAACCTGAATTCTAACACGTTGTCGTTAATCAGAACTATGGGGAGGAGTAAGTGAAAATGTAAGTACGTCTTTCTCACATATATCTAGTATTAACTTACCTTCAGGGAGATACAGCAAAAGCGCAGCATTCCATGTGAGTCCTCGTCTGCCTTTTGGATCGCCAACAATAAATTCTCGACGAAAATGTCTTGTTCACACTCTATAATTATTATAAGCCTTCTCGACACTGAGGCTATTTAGTAAAGGATTGCGAACTTTTTCTAGCCATTGTTTCATTTTTTCGGCATCTTTTGGAAACCGGAAATAGCTGCTGTATTTGTCACCGCACCCCGGAACACAGCATTTCTGATGCTTTTCAATTAACAAACTGGGAGAAGACATTTTGAGATAATAATTATTGATAATTGATAGGTAATTGATAATTCTAAATGTTGGGAGAAGTTCAAAATTTAAATTTTGACGACTGGAAATGACAAAATAAACTTCAAATCTTGGCGAACGGGCCGGCAGGAAAAAGAAAACTTTAATAGGTTGATTGAAGCGCCTCTAGTGATTGGAGGGGAAAGCTGAAACGACTAGACTGACGTCTCTCATAAGACTTACATTTCTAAGGGGGGATGTTTTGTGGTTATGCATTATTTTTTGAAAGTATCCAACTGAATGCTTTCAATATCATTAACATTAAAGATAGGTATACAATAAAACGGGAAAAGTTAATTATAAAATTTGCAGATATTGGGTAAATTGAGTTGTATATAAAAATATAAATGGTAAAAAGATAATTAAAAAACAAGAAAATCAATAATTTAAATCGTCCTTCGGAAGTAAACATATTTTCACAATGGCTCGTTTAGTGACGCCGTTTTTTGTTAGAACACTAACTACTCTCACCACACCGTCACTACCTGGATGAAGGTCCACTATACGCCCTCGATGCCATTGCAATGAAGGCAGACCATCTTCTTTTAGGAGCACTAGAGAACCTAGCAGGTCATTTTGATGGTGATGAAACTTCCATTTGTTCCGCTGGTGCAATGTGTGTAGATAGTCTGTTGACCACCGTGTCCAGAAACTTTGCGTCATTTTTTGAACATGCGCATATCTGGATAAGCGATTCATGGGTACTTGGGAAATGTCTAATTCGGGTACAGAAATGCGGACGGCCAATTAAAAAATGACCCGGAGTGAGTACTTCTAAATCATTGGGATCATCAGTCAGTGGGGTTAATGGTCGAGAATTTAAAACCGATTCCACTTGAACCAGGAGTGTATAAAATTCTTCGAAGGTGAGCGGAACGTCATTGAGGATTCGCTTTAGATGCTGCTTGGTAGACCTTACAGCCGATTCCCATATTCCTCCAAAATGGGGTGATCGCGCAGGTATAAAATGCCATTGAATTGTATTCTGAATAAGAAAGTCCTGAAACTTGCTATCTTTAAGAACAGCATAAATTGCAGCAAACTCATTTTTTGCTCCTATAAAATTCGAGCCATTATCAGAATGGAAATTTTGACATAAACCACGTCGAGCGGTAAATCGTTTTAAAGCAGAAATAAAAGAAGCAGTACTAAGTTCAGTAGCTAATTCTAAGTGAATTGCCTTGGTTGATAAACAAACAAAAATGCATAAATAGCATTTAAGAATTATTTTATTTCTGAACTTGGAATCTTTAAGCAAAAATGGACCGGCGTAATCTACACCAGTGTTGAAAAAGGGATGAAATGGAGTGACCCTTGAGCTTGGTAAATCCCCCATTTGTGCAATTATTGATTTGGGATTGGTCTTGAAGCAGGGAATACAAGACCTGATGACCCTTTTTACCAAGGATTTTCCATTTAAAGGCCAGAATTGTTGTCGAACAAATGATAGTGTGGCATGGGTTCCAGAGTGCAAGTTTCTATTGTGGTCATAAGTAATGATCAATTTTGTTAATGGATGGTTATGAGGAAGTAATATGGGATGTTTCTGTTCGAAACTCAATGGTGCATTTTTCAAACGCCCTCCGACTCGCAAAATGCCAAAGTCGTCAATAAAAGGATTTAATGAACTTAAATTACTGTTTTTCTTTATAGAGTTACGGAATTTTAGATT